GGGTTACCATATAAATCAGTTTTGCTAATGCTATAGCCTGGTTTTCGGATGTTACTGTGATTAGACGGGAGCGGTCGGGTCGGCTACGGAAAGAGACTCTGCCTACTTGTTTTTGGAGACATTGCTGGAAGAGAAGGGTGTTGTCATAGTAGGGAGCTGTGGGAGGGATCACAAAAAATCGGTCCCATTTGGCTGGGCTAAATAGAGTATTTAAGATTGTTGTAGAGATGTGGGTAGTAGAAGGGCGGGGGCGTGTCGAAGAGGGAGTAGTGTTATGGAGAGGTGGGCAATAAGGCTGTAAGGTATTAATAAGGGAGGATGGGATAGTTGATGTAGAAGGTTGTGGAGGTAGAGGTATTGAGCATGATGGGAGAGTAGGAATGTCTCTAGGGGGTTGAGTGTTGACTACTGTACTAGTAGGCATTGAGTAGGGGGTAGTTGTTACAGTGTTCGGAGCCGTGGTCAAAGGAGAGCCTGGGGTCAGGGAATCGGGAGGATTTGAATTGTTGGGGCTATTTGATGAAGGGGCAAGCCTCATTGCCCCTAATAGTGGGGTTAGGTTTTCATTATTGGCCATGGTAAGCCAGGAGTATGTTGGGGAGAGAAACAGTCCACCCCTCAGGGTCCCCTTGAGGGGTAAGGGCTAGGCCTAAGCAAGGGAATACCGTGCCCATGGCTCCCTCAGGCCGTTCAGGACTGGCACAAAGTCAGCCATTCATCCTTTCAGCACGGCTCTCACACCTTAGGTGGATAGTAGAGGGGATTAGTGAAGGGATAGAAACGAAAAAGTAGGAAGGGAAAAAAGACCATGCAAAATTAGTTGAGGGCTGAGTCCCAAGGTTGAGGAGTTCCCCATCATTGGGTCCCAGTCTCCGCCTCCTAAGCCCCCCCCCCACGACAACAATGGGATAGGGGGTGTGTGTTCGTGGTCAAAGTAGAGCCTGCGGTTGGAGAATCGAAGAGAGTGTTGGTGGGGCTATTTGATCAAGGTGCAAGACTCACTGCCCATAAGGGTATAACATTATTAGCCATGGTAAGCCTAGAGTATGTTGAGGAAAGAAACCGTCCACCCCTTAAGGTCCCCTTGAGGAGTAGGGGCTAGACAACTAAAAAAAAAAATACCGTGCCCATGGCCCCCTCAGGCCGTCCAGGACTGGCACAGTCAGCCTTTCAGCCTTTTATCCTGTCAACATGGCTCTCACACTAAGAAAGGCTGAGGCCTAAGGCAGGGGAGATCCCTAGCATTGGGGTCCAAGTCCTTGCCCCCTAAGTCCCCCCCCCCCCCACAACAACAACAGACAAGGAACTGAGGTGTATGTATTTTTGTAAACAATTATTTACACGTGTGCTTGTGTGTGTGAATGTGAATCTTCCTTTGTGCTTGAGTGCACTGTAATTTATATTATTTCAAGAAAATGTTCTGTCACGGTAATATCCAAGGTCATTAGCAGCATATTAAAATACAGCAATAGTATATAACTATGATAAAGTATTTTGGCAAAAAGGGGTGATGAGGACAAGTGGACAGAGGGGGATGAAGAAGAGAAGGAAATGGTTAATGGTTAATGGTTAAAAGCAAAAATAAATGTGCTAGACATCTAAGGTCATGTAGCACTATAGTAAATGTTAGTAAAGGGTGGTTAAGTTAGTGATTAGTTAACAAAGCTGGGCAAAGGAATTGGTGAGTGAATGGGTTAAGGTCGGGTGAGGTAATGTAAAGGGGTTAGATTAAGTGAGGGATATTTAAGTGTTTGAGAGGAAAACAGGTTGTCGAAGGGAGGATAGGTGGGGGGGGGGGGGGGGGGAGCAGAGCTACAGGCTGCTTCAAAACGTGTGCATGATAATAGAATGTGTGAGACTGAAAGAGGAACATTACATAAAGAGCATAGGGGTGGATCGGATTGCGACATCAGAAGGAAGGGATAGAGGGGATGGTGGGAGGGTTAATGTGGGTGGGGTTGGAGTTGGGGGGGATGGGTTGTGTTGGGAGGGGGTAGGAGGATAGGGTGTAGGGGGGATATCATTAGGAGGATGGATATCGGCAGTCACTTGGTATGTGGAGGAAGCAGGAGTTGTAGGATTTGAAGGTTGATGGGGGTCAGTTTTCATTAAGAAGTCTTGGATATTTTCAAGAGTTTCTTCAATGGAGTTGGTTGGGGAGTTTTGTGGGATAAAGGATTTCTTGTGAGGGGGGGGGGGAAGAGAACGCTGGTGTCTCAAGAGAGTTTTGGGGGATAAAGGATTTCTTGTGAGGGGGAGAAGAGAGGACTGGTGTCTCAAGAGTAGGGGCAAAGGATGGTGGAGGTGATTGTGTGGTAGGGGAAGAGGGGGTGGAACGTTTGTTCTGTCTGTTACGGGGAGTGCGAGGAGGGAGAGGGGAAGGTGTTGGGGTTGTAGTGGTGATTGGAGTATCTGTAGTAGAGATTGGAGTTTCTGGATTTAGGATGGCAAAAGAGTTTGACTGGGGAAGGTAGGTGGGGTTAGTGGGGGGGTTAGATGTAGGAGGGGTAGGTTTAGGAGAAGTGTTAGGAATGAGCAGTATTACTGGAGTAAGGAGTAAGAGAGAATCCACGTCGACGTGCTTCCTGTCTGGCTTCACGCAGTGTGAGTCCGAGTTTGAATCTGAGAGTTGCTACCTCAGATTCAAATTTGTAGGTGGGACAGCCCCTATAAAATACATTATGGGGGCCGCCACAGTTGGCACATGTGCGTGATTGTGCAGAGCAGTTAGATCGGGTATGGCCAGGTTGGGCACATAATGGGCATCTGGCTGTGGAACGGCAGTGTTTGGCTGGGTGTCCTAGACGCCAACAATTTTGGCACTGACGTGGAGGAGGTTGGTATGGACGAACAGGGAGGGATTCTCCTCCTATGTAGACGTTAAAGGGAAGGTCATGTCTACGGAAGGTAATTTTGGCTATGTTAGTGGGTTTCTTTCGATGACCTCTGGGGGGGATGGAAGTAGCATTGTACTGATGTTGCATCGTAGTCTGTGAGACAGGCAAGTAGATCTTCTCCACAATCTGACCAATCTTTGTCATAGATTGGGCAATTTGCTGGTGAGATTGAGACTGTTCCGGTGCAAGTATTGAGGGTTGGATGGGGTTCTGCTAGGATGGGGTTACCATATAGGTCAGTTAGTTTTGTTAATGCAATGGCTTGGTTTTCGGATGTTACTGTTACAAGACGGGAGCGGTCGGGTCGGCTACGGAAAGAGACTTTACCTACTTGTTTTTGGAGGCATTGTTGGAAGAGAAGGGTGTTGTCAGAGTAGGGAGCTGTGGGAGGGATCACGAAAAATCGGTCCCATTTGGCTGCACTGAAGAGAGTATTCAAGATTGTTTTAGAGATAGGGGTGGTAGAAGGGCGAGGGCGTGACGAAGATGGAGTAGTGTTGATGGAGGTAGTGTTATGGAGAGGTGGGCTATAAGGCTGTAAGGTATTAATAAGGGAGGATGGGATAGTTGATGTTGGAGGTTGTGGGGGTAGAGGTGTTGAAGTTGGGCATGCTGGGAGAGTGGAAGTGTTCCTTGAGGGTTGATTGTTGGCTACTGTACTAGTAGGCATTGGTGAAGGGGTAGTTATTGCAGTGTTTGGAGCCGTGGTCAAAGGAGAGCCTGGGGTCAGGGAATCGGGTGGGTTTACTTCTTTGGGGCTATTTGATAAAGGGGCAAGCCTCATTGCCCCTAACAGTGGGGATATAATTTCATTACTGGCCATGGTAAGCCTGGTTATGTTGGGGATAAAAACAGTCCACCCCTCAGGGTCCCCTTGAGGGGTAAGGGCTAGATACTAAATCAGGGGAATACCGTGCCCATGGCTCCCTCAGGCCGTTCAGGACTGGCACAAAGTCAGCCTTTCATCCTTTCAGCACGGCTCTCACACCTTAGGAGGTGGATAGCAGAAGGGTTTGGTGAAGGGACAGAAACAAAAGTGGGAAGGGAAAAAAAGACCATGCACAATTAGTTGAGTCGAGGGCTGAGTCCCAAGGTTGGGGAGTTCCCCATCATTGGGTCCTAGTCTCCGCCTCCTAAGCCCCCCCACGACAACAACGGGCAAGGGATTGGGGGGGTGAGGGGGATGAAGAAGAGAAGGAAAAGGAAAGAAGAAAAGACCAAGCAAACTGTTGAGGCAAGGTCTGAGGTCCCCTACATCTTAGCCCCCCACGACGAGCAAGGGATTTGGAGGGCATACAGGTACTGGTTTGTGCACATACAGTATGTACTTGAGTGCACACAATTATTTACATATGTACATAAGAGTATGTATGTGTGAATGCATATGCATGTAGATTCATATGTAGGTATTTGTATATGGATATGTACTTGTGTAAACATACACATGGAGTGGACATCTTTGTATGCATGAGCAACTTGACAAAATATTCACTCTTCAGTCATAACCTGACTTGTATTCCAACAAGTATGCTCCCTGGACTGTTTTGTAGCTCTTTACTTACATGGAATGACCGTTTCATATATAAACATACTAGTCCAGATTTATTAGGCTGTCCTTATGTCTATACATATACATATGTATTCATGCTTCCACTTTGTGGTTCTTACGATAACCATATTCATACATTTGGTATAAAAGGTTAATTCATATAAGAAACATGCATGAAAGTAGATCTTTATGAAAAATTCAGCTTCTGTCAGTTACTTCAATAGGGTATATAGGGCAGAACATACTATACATTCAAGACAAATCTGCTTGATCAAATATTGCTCTTCAGCAGTATTTCACTGAAGCCAGTATGAAAAAGGCTTCAATTCTGCTTGCAATTACACACACATTGTTAATGCTATCAGGATGAAGTTGATCATACAGAGCATAAAAGAAAACAGACCACACAATTGTTTAAGCGTGAAATCATCCCTTGGCTCTGGGCAAGGTGAGCAGTATCCTCATCCAAAGAACTGCTCATCCTAACTGCCACATCACCAGTAGGGATGTTAAGGGATAGTAGTGAACACATCAAGGTTAATAAAATCCGCTGGAATGATATACCCATCCTCATATTCAATTGGAATTTAATATTACTGTTATACAGTCTCCCATATTCCCTGCAGGCCTCTTGACACCAAAAAAAATTTTGAAATGCACAAAAAATCCAATTATAAAATTCAACTGAATAAAAAGTACAGCCTATTAGAAATCATCAGGAAGAGTATAAAGCAATAAAGGAAAGGAGATGAGAGTAAAATCAAGGATTAAAATTAGAAAAATTATGGAGGAGGAAAAGAAGTGGTTTCTCAATGGCAGTTTGAGACTATACCACACTGATGAATTTCTGAGCATTTGTTGGCCTATCAAGAGGAAATGATGTCGGACTGTGGATACAGCAAAAAAGCTCCTCCAGTTCCCAAGGAAAGAAAAGTGGTCCTGGGACTCTCCAAAACCAGCCCCTTTTCTAAATACACTTTCCTGAAGCATCCTCCCTTCTACACATCTGGCTTCAATGGGGCTTGTATTTCCTAGAGTGGAGTTTTGCTAGTCTCCTTTCTTCACCACTGTTGCAGTCTCTTTATCAGCCTTCTTCTTCTTCTTTGAATTCTTGTTACTAACAGAAGAGATGATCAGTTGCTGGAAAAAAAAAAAATTATATCATTAATCTTGATATTATAAACCATGCTAAATTTGTTTGTTGTGCTTTCATCCCTATGGAAGTATGATCAATGTATGAATATCTAAATTGTCATACCATTTCTTATCTAAATGCAAAAATATTTCTTACACATGTATGCCATCTAATTACATATACTTTTTACTTAAAATTACAGTTATCCAAGCATACTCACAGTAAATAAAAATAATCAACACTTACCACAAAAACAATTTACTTAACCTACCTTTTTTTTCTCATTTATCACTAATTACAAAGAGTTACTTGCATCTGTTACTTATCTATTTATATTTCAAAATCTTACAGTGGTTCACGCAACCCTACACAGCTTTTGCACATCACACCTAAACTGTATATAAAAGGGGCCTACAGAGCTTTTCACATGAATGAACCTTAGCTGTATATAAAAGGGTTCTATAATAAAGTCAAATGGTACACTAAATTATTATATAATGTAGAACTACATAGGAAGGCGTTATAAGTGCTGGATTCGTTCTCTCTCTCTCTAAAGCAAATACCAAGCCACTAAGTTTACATCTTACTTATCTGAAGTGATAAAACAAACATTTGATTAAAATGTATCACATCCACTTCCATACCTTCAGTTCAGGATCTTCAATCTTGTGTTGGGATTCAAACAAGTCAAGATCAAATGGCAATCCTGTAATCCTGTGTTGTCCACCAGGCATTAAGAGTACAGTAAACTTGAACTGTGCAACAAATTCTCCTTTCTGAAAGAGAAAAAAATATGGATAAAACAAACAACAAATTAGTTTTGTTATACAACAATTAATATACACAATGACAGTTCCCTGAAAACACACTATGGGTTTTAACAAGACCAATTTTTAAAGTAAATCCTTTCAGCAAAAATTACAAAGCAAATGTAAGGTTTATAGACTATTTTGTAATATTCCAAGTCTTCTTTTCCATGCAACAGCATGGGATCAGACCATGTGATCCCTCACATCTATATACCCGCACCTTGCAGATCCCAAACCACTGTCCTCCGCATCTATTTCTTCACAAAACATTTTTACAACGATAACAATGAAAAACTTACCCGTTCCCACAAGACTGGGTATGGATCAATCAACTTGTGAGATACACATTCTAGGACACCCATTCGTGCTTTCTTCTCATCCTCAAATAATCGCAAATTGAAAGGCATATCACGGTAACTTTTCTGGACCTGTGGGAAAAATGTATATATATTGACTAGGTTTTGCATAGCACTTTCCTTACTTCTATCCAAATCTATTAGTTCAGTTAACATTTAAAAGAATTTACAAATTTACAATAGATATCATAAACAATAAAAGTTCAAATTCACAACATACCTGAGCGAAGAATTCACGGGATGCCTTCAACTTCAGATGGTAAATTTCATCAGTTTTCCTAAATATTGTAACACGTGCATCCATCTCCCTGCCCTGCAAAGATCATCAGAAGCTTAAATAATTTTGATGTACAAGTAAAAATGGTTATTTGTAGGCCTAGATTTTTATAGAAATACAGTTCTGATAAAGTAAAACAAGACTATCATTAATGGCCTATTGACATAGGGGGGAGGGAGGCATCAGATGGCACCTGCGAAACTTTCATCAGGGGTCTGACATCCAAACACTGGATATAAGCATGCTATCATCATCTGCCAAACTTTTTCCAACCCTACAAGATTACCAATACAGGATAAAACGCACCTGGCCTTCTCCTGTGGAAACAATGACATCTACTGCATAAACTTCATGTGTTTCAAAGGTCTGTTTTTCTACTTCCTTCCGCTGTGCTTCTGTTGGGTTCTGGATGATAGTCTTTTCACCATCAATACGTCCCTGTTGAAGCTGGAAAGACAACATGCCTTCCACCGGTTTACACTTAAAGGTCTTGCTAATCTTTGTGACAGTATCTGTAACAGCGAAGTTCTGGTTGCCAGGTTTCACAAGTCGAAGTGCAGCCTCTGAAGAATAATATGCAGCTAGAATCGCATCAGCTTTTCGTCCGGTAACCTATTAAAAATAAAGACAAGCATGTATTAGGAACATATCCTTGGAGTTTGCAATTAATAATTTTATGGAATAGCTATGATCAAGACAGCAAAATGGAGAACGAGATTTTTTCTCCAACAACTATACAACTCAACTATTAATATACCTACACTTGTATATATATATATCTCTATCTCTATATGAAATTCTGTACCTAGCTACATATGCAGTATCTGGAGGAAGAAGTGCCCATGGAACACCATGAATGCTTCCTTAGTTGCTGGTACCAACATGCTTCTCAAGTTTGGTTGGATAACAGATACTTGGAAAAATATCATTACTAAAAGACAGTCCTTTGATCTGAAGATATACTTTGTGTATATAATAGGAGACAGATCTTTATTAAAATAGGTGAAACAAGAATCAAGTGCTATGCACTATCATTCATGTAACCAATCAGGGCCAGCTTGCATCCAGATTAAGTTTAATCCATGACTTTTGCTGACGTGTGCTCCAAATAATTTTCATGGATATTTGAGTTTTAGGGCCTCTCCACACAAGCAGGTATGGTCATCAGCTGGCAGAGCAGAGATGATGTTACAGGTGGGCAAACTACTCAATATGCAAGTAGTTTTCCCCACAATTTTCTTGCCTGTGACATCTCATTTACAGGTACCTGCCTTTGCATCTGCTGATTATGTGCACTTGTGTGGACAGGCCATTTCCACAACTGCATGTAAGCATGTTCTGAGACACTGGGCATGTGTTATGGATTTGAATGCAAAGAAATGGTTTTAACAGATGATACATGTGTAATAAGTGAGGTTTGTATTTTGTTTAAAATCTTAAAAGTGTGTCAAGGGTATTGGATCATTACACTTTGAAGTACAACTTGTAAAATCTTATTCCCCATTATTGTGGCTAATCACACATTGTGAACATGGCTTATTCCATGATGTTGGAAAGCCCATCAAAAAGTGGGAGAAATTTCCCAGCCATTTTTTCACGCTGAAAGCGATGTATAGGATGGCCACTAATATAAAGAACCATTTAGCAAATTCCATCAGCCACACCCACAATGTTAACCCCCCCACCAACTCTCACTCCCCTTGTAGGCACTACTCTGCCTGAGTCAATTATGCAGCTGTGTTTTCCTGCCTCTATCTTATATATATATGTCTCAAACTATATCTACATGTATATATGCATCAATAAATATGGTGTATAAACACAAAACTTGCACTATCAAAAACAATCTGACACATTCCAATGTTCCTTCATAACTAAGGAATTGGCGGGCAACTTTTAATGCAAATAAACTGATTATATTTTACCCTTCTAAAAAAATAATAATAATAAACAAAAATCTCTGAGTGTGCATATGCAATTCCTACCTATACACAATATATATACAAATAATTATCTATATATAAAGAATGAAATTCCAAGCTACTATCTTTAGTTTTCAAAAATTTAAAGTTTTAATATCAGTCTACAATATATTTACCTTGCTTTCTTTTGAAGCACCAACAACAACAGTGTGGCCAACTACAGCAATGAACCCATCTAAGTGGGCACCCATGTCAATTTTGACCATATCACCATTCTTCAGTGTGCTGTCCTTGTCCGAGAACAGGGGTGAATAGTGGTTGATGCAGTTATTAACTGAAACACACACTGGAAAAGCAAGGCCCTTTTTCATGGTTTTCTCCTTCTTGAATACTTTATTGCATTCCTCCATAAGCATTTTGTCACCCTCAACACAGATGCCACGAACTGATGCATCAGGGACGCACATTTCCACAAGCTTCTTCAACGTCCCTGCAATAAAAAGAATGTGTAAGAGTTCTGAGTTATCTCAAGAATATCCTAATCTACTTGTAATAACTGTACTAATCATATTACTAAAAATATAAATACAATGGTATTATGAACAATTCTTTGGATAAATTCCCAATTAACTATGAAAACAACAACAAAAAAACTGATAGTCAGGTAGTACGAGTTTTCCAAGTTCTCTCTCTCTCTGCCACCTGTTGCTTTGAAATATTGAAATAAAACAAAACATTCCAAGCCAAATTAGTGATTCAGATAAATTTTGATTTATTCACTGCACCTGAGCTTATAGGCAAGCTCTGCATCTCCCAAACCTTATCAATAAGCATCTCATAATCAACACTTCATTGGGACAATTAATATTACCACTCCCACACACTAGTTAAGTGCAAAGAGACGGGACTGCACATGCTATTTTCAAAAGTACAATTATGAATCATTTTGCTATTAAACTCTAAATAGAAAAACATTTTGTACACGTGCTGCCCACCACAAAATTTGAAAAAGTACCAAGAGATACACACAAAATACTGAGAAACAACAATATATCTTCAATACATCTCATGGAACTAAAATGACCTTCAATAAATAATGCACTAGAAACCTTTACCACTGGATGGGAGGCAAAACAAACTTGAGGGGGAATTATTTTTTTCCAGTACTAACAAACTATAAGATGAAGTCCCTATCTCTTCTGCAAAAGCTAAGGGACAATCCAAGAATTTATTTTCTTTGGGGGGAGGGGGAGGTATTTGGATAAAACTGCTCCCTATCCCTCTTTGCCAAATCCCCAAAAGTCACAGCATTCACCGAGGTAACTAAAGCCAGTTCTTTATGGGTGGAGGAGGGGGGGGGTACTAATATTATTGAATATTATTGAATACTTTAGGTATGCTTATTGACTCACACACCCATTTTTGAACCATATAGATGACTGGTCTTTATACACCCTTAAACTGAAGGTACCATATGGCAAAAGCTTCCAATAAAAAATAAACCATCTTATGATCTTTAATAAAATTAATCAAAATTCTTTAAAAATTATATGCTTATGCTTTCCAACAAATATTGCCTTGAGCTCAAAATGTGACAGCAAAAATTTTGTAATGGACGAATTTTTGTAAGGACTTCTTAAACATAATAATTACCTACAACAGCTGTTATTCAAACAGGTACTCCCTACACTAGCAAGGTCTGGGCAAGCTTTGTGAGGCAGAAAGTAAATAGAAAGGACTAGAAATTAGCCAGCACATCTTGTGTTAAGTGAATAGTAAATGTGCAATTCAAGTGTGACAAGTATATATGCAAGTCATGTATCAGCAGATCAAATGATTTCAACATTACTCGTATTAAAAGTAATAAAAGGGAAAATCTTGCAATAACATAACAGGACTTTTTTTTATATCTTACAATTAGCCAAATTATAGAAAATTGGAACATTATAGTAAATCTACAATTCTGGACAATTATAATACAGGGTAATAAGCATAAGAAAGTAATAAACTTACAAATCACATTTTCCTATCAGAGAATTTTTTTTCTTTTCATTTTTTTTAACACTTAATTCCCCTCCAAGTGAACGTGTGGTTTGGCATTCCTTCAAGGTCTATAAAAATTGTTAATCTTTACAGTAGGACCTACTAAGCTAGGGTAAATTTGAAGACGAGATCTGTGTAGAGAACAAAATGTGGTAATTTTTTACTTTCATACAGCCTTCTAATCTTGCTAGTATTATTCCTTCTTTCAATTATCAATACTGTAATGTGTGAATTTTATTTTCCATCGCAACTGATATAAAGAAAAGGAAAGTATTGGCAATATTTACGACGTGAGTTTACCCCTGGGAAATCTAATAACACTACTGTATAGAGGGGACACCATATTTCCCTATCAGGAGCTCTGCCCCAGACCCCACCTACTCATCGTGGACTTATTCTCCACACGGAACTTGCCACAACCTATTTTCTTCATTTTTGGAATTTTTTGCTTTGCAGATTATTTCATATATTAGTGTTTAGTTTAGTTTTTTTCCCCCTTTTCTTTTTTTTAACGTTCCATTACATTTTCCCGTATACATATACCAAAATATTACATGTTGCAAAACTTTCTTTATACCAACTTGTAAAGGTAGTACCATGGATGAAAAGTGTCTTAATTTCCGTTATTTTGTCCATTACAGTAAAATTTTACCTTATAATACAGGGCTCTGAGAAAGGTGTAGTTGTCCTTCCAAGAAATAATAGTAATTCTCTACAGTACAGATGTACTCACTAGAGACTATATTAATGTATCAATCTAAGTTGTTGTGACTGGACACTGTCTGATGGAAGGGTTGATGAGGGACTGACTCCCCCCCCCCCCAACACCCCTCGGCAAACTTTGTCCTCCCTTTAGTATGAACGGCAAGACTGAGTTGACTCGGAAGGACAAAGTAGACTTTAGCTGTGAGCCGTGTTCCCTGCAATCTTTCCTTTATCTGTGGCATTACTAATCATGTTTGCAAAAACAAATTCTTGTACCAAGAACCAACCAAGGAAAAAGATTGCGGAAAGCGGCGCTCATAGTTAAAGTCCCTGTTACAGTAACTTAATCGTTGAAAATTTGAGATAGTCTCTGGCGAGTGCTTTTTTTTTTTTGAGATATTCTCTGGCAAGTGCCTCTGTATTATCAGGAATTATCAAAACATCTGCCAAGTAATGTTTGTGAACAAGGATGAGAAAAATTTCTGACTTGATAAATTGCCTAGTAAATATACAAAATGTTACTTTCATAAAACAGATATGGTACAAAGTTAAAAACATTCTGCTTTGAGTGACAACTTGAGATTTAGTTTTGGAAACAATGATTGAAGGGGGGAAAGGAGGGGGAGCATAAACAGCTGTTTTCAAAGGAATCAAAAGAGGAAGCAAAACTGGAGCAATTTTAATGCCACACCTTAGTAACTTCTACATAACCCTTGGGGACAATAAAAGTACATGAAATGTACGTAATAAACAGTCAAGTTAAGAGTTCTACGGGTGTGAAATTGTGAAATAATTTTTCACTCCCTAACTTCAAATTGCCCCTTTGATGAAACAGTTTCTGCCATTGCAAGATGTGCCAATCAGAACTCATGGAAAGGATTAACAAAACCCCAAATATATTCTAGCTAGTTAGAGCTTGCCGACTTTCAAGGTATTTTATCATTATCCCTTAAAATGACCATGTCAACAAAGGGCTAACAATTTTATATTTCCCATAGCTAAAACCAGAACTGAAAAAAGAGGCTTTTCAATTAAATTTACTTTTCAAAAAATTAATCATGATATAACAGTTAATGAAATTGTTGCATTATTCCATAAAGCCTTGCTGTAAAACAGAAGGCCATGTGAAATACACAAAAATCTGTACTCTACAAAATTGTAAATAAATATACCAGGTTGATATCACACGATGTCTGAATTTCTGGCAATGTAAGCACCTTTATTCATCAACAAATCTGTAATCTTTGACATGTGGAATGCAGCTCTGGAGCCTGAAATAGAAAGTTCATCTCTGCAGCGTTGGGGTGAAAGTCGCTTGCAGTGGTCAGTGACCGGCCCTGCAGCTGCCCATGAAAAAGCTGGGCATCAATGGGCAACATGTTTCCCCAAATAAACAGGTGCAATTGTTGCATCCACAGCATCTTATGAGAACGGGGGCTCCCTTCTTTATGCACGTATTAACAAAGACATATGTGATAATTCAAGTTGCAACTGAAAAAGGACACCAGTAATGCAACATATGTATGGACAACATGATGGGAGCACCATGTTGCATGAGGTGACCGTCATGAAAGTGCACAATGTTGTGGTAACACGACGTTCCTTGGAGTGCACGGTTTGCAATGTTGCCAGAGGCGGCACGAGGGAAGGCCCGATAGAACCAGACTCCCTGCTGCTGTGTCCATATTTCGCCGTGTCCTCTCTGCAACAGGGCTCCGAGGGCCCCGTGGGGTTGCACGCTACACGACACCGCCACCAAAACGCCGCCCAAGCCCCAAGTGGAAGGACAAAACGCGCAAATGGCCAATCCTCCCACGCAGACCCGTCAAACATGGAGGCCCGGTAGCCCTGCCTCATAAAGGGCCGAAACTCGCCGTCTTTTCCCTCCCGGCCGTACTCACGGTTGACAATCTCGCCGGCCATCTTATACTTGGTCACGACGAGATCCTCCGCGATCGTATGCTCTTCGTTGTCGCCCATGTTGCCGTTGAATGGAAAAACTCAAAAGGGTCAGGCTCCCACGTGCAGGGAAGAGCAGCGGCC